TTTGTTAAACTCATTTAAAAAATCTGAAAAAATTCTGGGATACTCTAGAGAGATTATATTTTATGTTCCAATAGTTACTTTAGTCATTTATTAACAATTTTTTGCAATAACAATTTAAATTTGCCGAAATCGACAAAAAATGTAATTTCGTAAAAAAAAATCATAACTTAACAACATATTAAAATTAACAAAAATATTTTCAGGTTTTTTTAGATGAAACTATTACAATTTTCGGAGAACGAATGACGCTACGAGTCTCATACTCTAAAACTATAATTCTTAAGCCTAGCACAACTCAGAACAAAAAGATCTCGGTTGGAACAAGAAAGATAGTATAAGTTTACTCTTGGTCTGATAGACTTTGTCAAAAAACTTTTTTTTAATTTTTCGGGCTTATAATTAAACTTATTGATTTGTGCTTTTGGAACAATGTTTGGAACAACTAGAACAATCTATATCGGTATCGAAATGCTTTATTTTAAAAAAATGGGGAGCCAGGTCAAAAACATTTTTTTCATTTTTTGGACTTATAATTCAACTTACAAATTTGTCCTTTTGGAACAATGTTTGGAACAACAATCTATTGCGGTATCAGAATGTTCGATTTTCGAAAAGTGGGGTGCCAGCTCAAAAAATCTTTTTTTTTGTTTTATTCGAAAACCGTTTCGAATGAAGCAATATCACTTTGGAACAATGTGGTACAAAGTCAGAACAATTTGGAACAACTTTCAAAATTATAAATTTCAAAAAGTAAGGTGCCAACTTCATACACTCGCAGACTTGAGCTTTCGCTCTCAATCGAGGATCCTGACATTGTTGGGAACGTCCGAGAGAGATGAAAGCGAAAACAAAATTGAAATTTTGCACAGTTTTGATTCTACTTTCGATCTCAATGTTCCATTTAATATGTGCTTTAATGATAATTGGATTTTAAAGCCTATATCAATCTCTTATGATCCTATTTAATCTACCAGCTTTGTCTCTTTTAGAAGCTACAAGTAGCATTTTGTGCATTATCTGTCATTTAGAGGAGCTAAGTAAAAGATTTCAGTTTTCACGTATATTAGTCATACTCGGGTTCTACAGAATATATAGATGTATGGAAAGTTCAGATAGAAAGTAGCACTAAAATCTCAACTAAGGAAGCAAGAGCACATATCACGTAGTCATAAACGCGTGGATGGTTGTAAAAATAATTATGACAATAATCATAATAAATGTTTGAGTTGAAAGTAAGAAACTAGTGTAGCTTGACTTCATAGTTGTATATCGCTTATTTTTATAAAGCAGCACGATGATTTCGCGTTTAACCAGAAATCCGGAGATTACTAAAGACGTCCAAGACAAAAATTTGAAATCTTTTAGAGACGTTTCGGCGATATATCACGCTGTTGTAAGTGCGTTGATAATTATGACAATAATAATGACAATAGATGACAAATGTTTGAGTTGAAAATTGAAAACCGGTAGTTTGATTTCATAGTTGTAAATCATTGAGATCTGTTGATAACATATTATTTGGACGTTAATATTGGTTGAAATTTTGTTTAGGATATGAAAAAAATGATTGTGTGCACGAAACTGTTTTATACACTTATTATAAAAACTTTCGATACTCTTTAATTAAGTGTATCCCAGTATTTTCATACGACACATCTCTAAGGTGACCAGATTCCCAGCCCTGAATTCGGGACACTTTATAAATGTGTGAGGCGGGGAGGGGGAGTTAATAGACCCGAAAATTATTTGACAATCATTGAAAATGATGACAAATCGGTGTCTCGAGTAGCACTCGAAAAAATTCGGGATAAAGGGTGAAAAATCGGGACGTCTGGTCACCTTACACATCTCGTATATCATCTGTCGTGATGAGGAGTCATGACAAGAGCACATGCGAAACGCGCGAAATTCCGAGCAGAATGGCGTTTGTTCCACGTTCGTGCATCGGCTCTTTTCGCCGAGGTACGGCTATCCAAAGAGTTTGGAGTTTCGCGAGGCTGCGCACCGCCAACTGACGACGTAGTACAATGTAATACGTTCGCGCCTCGGACTTCACACCTCTCCCTTCGGACGGCAGCATGCTCGACTTCAAGGCAGCGCCGAGCGACATTGTCAGCGGGCCTCGGCGCCTATCAAACGATTCACCGATTTCTCCGCGCAGGAAAGTCGTAGCGACGTGAAACAAAACGAGCATTCGAAAGCTCAGTGTTTCGCTTTCGATGATGAGGCAATCTTAATGTTAATTTAATGTTAATGATAATGATTGGTATCAATATATCGTCGAGTCAAATTTTACAAGCCTTTGCATCTGACTCGTAAATCAGCGTTTTTAAAATTTTCTAATCTATATATCAATCTAATTTTCAATCTGCATTTCTGAATCTAATTATTTTGATCTACAATTTTCTGATTCATCTTCGTAAATCTAATTTTTAATTAACAATTCTTAATCTGTACTTCTAAATCTAATTTTCCATAATCTACAATTTTTAATTAATTTTTAATTTACATGTCTGAAGTTAATTTTCAATTAACAAATTTTTAATTTATATTTTTGAATCTAATTTTCCAATCTACAATTTTTAATGCGCATTTCTGAGTCTGATTTTTCAATCTAAAATTTTTTAATCTACATGTTTGAATTTAATTTTTCAACTTATGATTTTTTAATTAATATGTCTGAATTTAATTTTTCAACCCACGATTTTCAATTTAAATGTCTGAATCTAATTTTTTAATCTACAATTTTTAATCTACATTTCCGAATCTAACGTTTTAACGAACAATTTCCAATCTACATTTCTGAGTCTAATTTCCATCTACAATTTTTAACTTGCATTCCTGAATCTAATATTTCAATCTATAATTAAGATGTCTAAATATAATTTCTTTTATTTACAATTTTCTTATCTATATGTCTGAATATTTTCAACCTATAACTTTTAATCTCTGAATCTAATTATTCAATCTACAGTTTTTAATCTATATTTTCGAATCTAACGCTTTAATCTACAAAGTTCAATCTACAATTTTTAATTTACATATCTGAATCTAATTTTTCTATCAAGATTAATCGAATTCTTTTCAGCTGGTAAATGTATTATTAAGAATAAGATTTCGACTTTAATATGATCGAATTCTGAAGGAATGAATCACATTATCATAGAAAATAGAATTTCCCGTTTACAAGAGTAAACATTATGATTTAAATTTGTTTAGTTATTCCACTTGACGTTTCCGTTAATATCCTTCGACTGCATGAGCGTATAAAAAGTTATTACGGCCAAGTTTATTGTTCTGGAGGGGAAAAGTCCTCAGTTATGATGACGTTCACCTCGATCATTAAATCGCGCTGTTAATATCGCCGTAAAAACACCGGTCGATTATTATTTGCCGATAATACTCCACGACTGAATGACAGATTCTTGCCTCAATGGCTCTGCTGAACTGTCCAGCCATCCAATAAGAATAGTTACAAACTTGAAGATAAAGATGTATGCTCCCGGCCTGAAATTATCTTTTCTTTTTATAAAACAAAAATTTGTTACGCACCCCAAGTAGACGTGCTGGCGACTTCCTCGGGCTGCAGACTCCTCGATCGGGACACGTTCATTCTCGTCAACGACGCGGGAGGTGGGGAAGGCGACGACGACGAGTTCCGGTCGTTCGTCGGCGAGAGGGGGATGCGCGACGTCGCGCTGTGATCGTTGACGTCCAGGTCCCCTTGGAATCGCACGCGTCGCGACGTCGGCGTCGGTGGATCCGTCTGGCTGGCTCCGACGAGATTGACCGGCGACGTCGCCGTCTCCTGCGCCAACACGCAGGCGGACGCTGCGCCGGCGGTCGATGTCGACGCCGACGCTCCCGACGACGGCCGCGGGGGCGGCGGCAGTTCCGGCATGCTCGACGCGTGGGAAGGAGTGCAGTTCTGAACACATCTGAGGGGCTCTCGGTCCCGCGCTTGCATCAACCTGCAATGTGATCGCGAGATGCGGCGTTAACGCATTCTCCGCACGGCTACGTGTGTTTTGTCGGCATTCGTGAGGTTTTCCAGTCTCAAGACTAAAGATACTATGTGCTTGGCGCATTAAATGAATTCGGTATTATTTACGTTCTTCAAAAAGTGCACAGGAGATCTCTACAAATTTGGAAGTTTTGATGCTCTTTAAAGAGTGTGGGAAATTTTCGAAATCGAACATTTTTTAAATCTTTCAAATTTTCCAAAATTTTGGCATTCTTCAAAAAGATCTTCAAGATCAAACATGATCTAAGATCTGAAAAATTGTTGAAGTCTTGACATTCTTCAAAAAGTGTGGGAAATTTTTGTAAGATCGAACTTTTTTTCTAAGATCTCTGAGAATTTTGAAATTTTGACACTTTTCACAAAGTTTGAATATTTTTAAGATCTTTGAAATTTTTCAAAATTTTGGTATTCTTCAGAAAGTATGGGAAATCTTCAAGATCAAACATTTATAAGTCTGGACAATTTTTTTCAAGTTATGGCATTCTTCAAAAAGTGTGACAGATCTTCAAGATTACAAATTCAGATCTTTGGATTTGTTAAAGTTTCAAATATTCCTGATCTTTCAAGCGTATTATATCAATATTTGAACGAGTGCCTTAATTTATGGACCACAAGTCTGCAAATTTCAGGGAGGTCCCGTGCGAATCTAACGTGTCGTATATTATCTATATTTTACTTACAAGAGAATGGATAAGAAGATAGAATAGCGAAGATTCCCGTTAGGTCAGGATACAAAATATGGCTCGGAACTTTATAGTGCAGTAAAACGTACCTTCCCAATTCGCTGCGGTTCTCGTCGGGATGGGAACCGCGTTCTTGCAGCAGTCTCTCGAGATTCCGCTCTAGCAGTACCCTGTCGAGGCCGCTGGGTCTGGACCCGCTGGAGGGGAAGCCTTCCACGACGAATTCGGGGCTCAGAGTGCTCTGGGTGGGCGTCGTCGCCAAGGAAGCGGAAACTTGTTGGTGCTTCCTGGTCATCCGAGGCGAGTTCCTGGGCGATCCCAGAGTGTGTCTCGAGCCCGGAGGTGGAGGCGGTGGAGGTGGAGGCGGTGGACTCGACGAACCCTCGCTCGTAGCCACCGTTTGCCTCCTACCGGTTCTGCGAAGAGATGACGTTAGGTTTTGTCGCATCGCTCCTTGCAGAGAAAATAGTCAAACGCGAAAGGTAGAATTAATTTGTTTCACTTGAGCACATTTTCAATTAAAACATGGTGATCCTTCGCGTACTCTTTGTAACTTCATTTGATTTCAACGAGAATCTTATATATTTAGCTTATCTCGTCTTCTATACTGAGAGAAGAAAATATCTACAAAGTGAGAAATATTTATTCGGTATAACATATTTATTTGTATTATATATTTATGCATATGTCTGTTTCCATTAAGAAAACATTTTTCCAAATGAGAAAGTGTACATTTTCCTAAAATCGTTGTTTTTCATGAAAGTAATTGTTCATTCTATTTAAATAAAGGAATCTAAGCGATAAATATATTTTTAGCACCTATCGAATAAGTATTGCAAATTTTTTAAATATTTCTTCTTTCACAGTGTAAGCTTACAATAGATTGAGTCTGCTGTCACTTTTTCAAGAAACAATAATTGCTAAGATCTCGTTTCTATCTTTCATGTTGTCAAACGATCCCGACAGAGCCAGCTAATTATTTCCCATGGCGGATTCACCGATCTTCGCGGCATTCTAAGAACGAGCGCGGCAATTAGGAGTGCAATAAAATTTATATACCACATTCGTATATGTATGTATATGTTATGTATATGAGCCAAATTTAAATTTAATCGCAGATGCCTCATTAACAAGCCTTTATATATGTAAATGGTTTATCGCGACGGCGATTTCGTCAACGATATACCGGTTGGAATACAGATTAAATCACCCATAAACCGTGTATATCATTCCAGCCACGTGTGATCAGCACAACCCATGTGACTCCGCACTTTTTGTCAATTATAATCCGCAATAAATCAGTCAAAACATTAGTCCACGACTCGGGATACTTATCTCGCATTTCTCCAGAATCTCAACGCGTACTCAACGAGGAAGCGACACGCGACATTTGGCTCGCCGAAATGATGAGCAAACGGAGAGCGAAATGTCTGAGAGGTAGCGGAATTATTCAACAGCTACTCGCGCTTCGATCCGTCAAACTGAGATCACTCTGGCCCCGATCGCGCGCAAAACACGAGAGACGGCCGATTGCGCGAACTTCGGTCTCGGTTCCACCGACGCCACAGTCCAGTTCCGCTTGCGACGAGGAGCTAGTCTGTGAAACCAGCCGTGTCGATGATTTATCGCTAGCGTAATAATTCCTCGCGAAGTTCTTCTCTCGCAAACTCGGAAGCAGAGACGCGCTCACGGCCGTGTAATCGAGCGGGGCGCTGCCACCACCCCGGCGGCTATAATTTCCCTGTGCACGAATCTCGACCCCCGCGTCGCTCCCCACGTGCCAGGCAGGACAATGAGGCACCCTCGTGACCCCACCTTCGCGAGGTATGCGGCTGTACAGTAGGATACCTGAGGAAAGAGGGCGGCGGCGGCGGCGGGCCGGCGGAGGAGTCGCTCGGTGTTGTCGGCGGTTCACCCTTGCTGCACGCTATGCTGCAGTAAATAGCTCCGCGGCGTGGCAGAAATGGCCGGCCTAGAAGAGAGCTGCGACACGTCGCGCAACTGAAGCATGACTCGGTGGCGTGCCAGTGCTGGCCCTCGTGTGACATCTGCCCCTGGTCCACGCCGATAGGCTCCCCGCAGCTATCACAGTATTCAGCGAAGGAGGCATCGAAACATCTCAAGCAGTACGGACGACCTTCTCTCATTACGTATCTCTGGCCGCCGAGCTGCGGGCAGAAAGAAGCGCAACGTGCGTGAATTTATGAGACGGCTGAGAGGCGAGCGGGCGCGCCCAGCGAGATGGCTCATTTGGGCTAACGGATGTCGGCTGGCGGAGCCAGCATTCGAAAAGCAACGCTTTGACACAGCGAGAGAGAGCGAGAGAAAGAGATAATGAAGTTGGGCATTATTTCATCTCGCTTCATGGTTATTTTAATTATTTTGAGCGAGAGAAAGGCGGAAAATAAAGGTTTTGAAAGACAATGCCTCGACAAAGTGCAAGAGAGAAAGGAGAGGGGCAGGAGAAAGGGAAAGAGAGAGACAAATTGATTCAGCGAAGATGTTATTTCATTTTGTCTCCTAATTATTTTAGTTGGCGAAGCATTCGAAAAGCAACGCTTTGACACAGCGAGAGAGAGAGAGAGAGAGAGAGAGAGAGAGAGAGAGAGAGAGAGAGATGAAGAGATTTAACAAAGGTGATATTATTCCATCTCACTTGATGGTTATTTTAATTATTATGAGCGAAAGAAAGTCGGAAAATAAAGGTTTTGAAAGACAATGCCTCGACAAAGTGCAAGAGAGAAAGGAGAGGGGCGAAAGAAAGGGAGAGAGAGAGATAAATTGATTCAGCGAAGATGTCATTTCATTTCGTCTCCTAATTATTTTAATTATTTTGACCGAATGAAAGGCGAAGCTTTCGCAAAACAATGCCTCGACAGAGCGGCAAAGACGAAGAAATAAAATGATTCAACGAAGATTGTATCATTTTATCTCGTCTTGATCTCGCTTCGTAACAGTGTTGGGCATTAATCGATTCAAATGTTAGTGTACTAAGATAATCGGCAAATATATAATCAAAATCAATTAAGTGTCACGTATAAAATCAGTAAGAGCTTAACAGATTAATGAAATTAATTATTAACAAAAATCTGATTTGATTAATTATACATTGATTTTACAGTTTATTTTATCAATCGATTAAGTTATTTGTGATCGCATATATTACGTTTGATTATAATTCTGATTATTCCAATTATTTTAACCAAAGAAAATTTTTATCTAACTATAAAACTAACTCTTAACTATTTTAATTATTTTTTTTCGTAAGGGAAGCTTCCAAAACAACGCCTCGATAGAGTAAAAATGAGAGAGAGAGAGAGGAGAGGAGGAAAAAGAGTGGCGAAAAAGCAGAGCGAGAGAGGGGAGAAATGATTCAACAAAGATGATGCCATCTCATCTCGTCTCGATCTCGCTTCATAATTATTTTAATTATTTTGGGCGAACGAAAGTTGGAAGGCGAAGCTTTCGAATGAGAATTCGACAGAGCGAGACAGAGAGGGAGGAAGAAAGAGACGAAATGATCGAATGAAGATGATATCATCTCTCATCTCGTTTCGAACTCGCCTCATAATTATTTTTCAAGCACTGAGTAAAGTTTTAACTGTCGGAGACTGTTGACAAGGACCGTGAAAGAGAGAGAGAACGGCGCGCTGTTTAAGATTAGCCGGCGAGGGGGTCGTGGAAACGACGAAATCGTCAGTGCGTAGCCCATCCGCTTCGACGAATAAACCGGTTCGGTTTATGACCGCGTAATAATTAAAAGTGCTACTTTATCGCGCGGTCTCTGAAAATGTATAGTTATGGCGACGCGGCAGAAACACGGACCCAGCGATAATAGTACTTTACTGGTGACCGGTTATTCACTGGAGCATGCACTCTATATACAGCAGATAACTGATAAGCTACAGGTTCTTAGAGTTCTCTGTTCGCGCGTACTCGCGACGCGGATATTACGCGCGTTCTCTCTCCATCCTCTCAGTCGGGATATAATTCTACATCGAAAAGGAGGCTTTTGTAATAATCATCACGCCTCGGTAATAGTTACCAGATGCTTTGGCGAAATAGTGTCGCAACCAAACGTGTAGGTGGATATATAATCGAGTAATTTAATAAATATTAACACGAATAACCTTAGCAAGGCTTGTAGTATCTGTTGCCAAGGCTCGGTACTCACATTGCTACGATTTGGTGATTATTATCAATTTATGTGATACGCATTACTGAACAATCTGTTAAATAAAAATGTTGTTTAATAATACTTATCACATTATGTGATAAATATACGAAGTAGTAGTAAACATTTTGGTAATAATCAAACTATATTTAGTAATTATTACCGAACAATTTAGTATTAAATTGGCTCAACTAAATATAAAGATTTGTTTTACTTTGTTTTACTAATTAAAAATTTGTTTTACTAATTATTTTGTATGTATATGCATTATTTTTGTAATTATTGGTTGGTAACTATTCCTATATTTAGCACTAATTACCAAATATTGCATTGAAACGCTCAATCAAAGCATTTGTTAACTGTTACAATACTTTTTCCTCAGTGTATATGTTACATATGAGAAAGAGTAATGTGCATGCGTGACGTAAGTAGTATAAAAGAGGAGGTGATAGATATATAATATGGCTGATATTTACACATATGTCTTCAATCGATCAGACATGACTATCCAATTTACGTAATCATCTCATCAACATATATCAACTTACTTATGACGCATGAGTTCAGTACATATGTTTCGAAGCCATATGTTTTATTCAAGTTAGTAGTCTACTGTATAACATAGATGTCTGTGATAAAGCCATATTGTTCAGTAATACGTGTAATAGATAATTACGTAATAGATAAATACGTAATTTGTGTAATAGATATACAAAACGATCAAATGCTTTGATGAATCAAACCATTGATTAGTCAAACCATTTAGTAATTACCGTTCAATTATTTAGTATTATTTATCAAACCACTTAATCAACTAAATGAGAAAATTTTGCCTTACTAGTCATTTTATAATTATACTAAGCGACTGATAGAATTATTCAACAAGTCAAGTTATTAAAGATCATTAAACTGTGTTTGATTTACTAAACATTGGGCTGAAATGCTGAACCAAATTGTTGACTATTGCGAGACTTTCTTTGCGAGGGTGAATTACACGGAATAAATTGGAATTGAAAAAATTCCGCGCTTTACCTGAACGCTCTTCGAGTCACCTCTCTCTCTCCCTCTCTCTCATGGAGTGTATACATATTCATAAGTTCACACCGGAGGTGTGCGTGATGCGTGTGTAACGCGGAGAGCGCGTCGCTTCTGCGAGTGCGCGCGAGCTAGCGACGTTATCTAACTCGGAAGACATATCTAGAGATAGAGTCAGCTGGCGGGAAATTACGAATTGCTACGTAGCTGTAAATTTGATAGCGAACGTAATCGTTAACTAGCCGGTGCTTCTTGCCGATACGCGCTAGAGAGTACCGCTACGTACAACCGATCTCCGCGGAGGGAGGAACGGAGGGTCGATCGATAAAAAATTGATATATTTTACATAGATTTATGAACCCGCTTCCTCCCTCGCTACCACGACTGGTCCGCCGTATGAAACAGAAGCTACGTTATTCGCCGTTAGTTTGCGCGTGTTTTGCGTAATCAGGACGTCCGTGAATAGTCTTCTCTTTCGTACTTAGAAGGGAATAACTTGGTATTAATTATAATTAATGAGGATATTTCTCGAGGATGTATATAATGTTGTCTAACTGTAAATTTAGAATTTTAATCAATGATTTTTTTTCTAATTATGCGCGATTTGAAGTTTCGATGTAGATTAATTATTTTCTCTAACTGTTATATAACAATTGTTAGAACTGTTAATTATATTAATTTTTTTTCTCTACTTATATACGTGATTTAGAATTTTGATTATTTTTTTTCTAATTATATAAGGTAATTCATAATTTTATTTATTTATTTATAATTAATTAGATTTTAATTAATTAATTTTATCTATATTTACTTATAATTACTTACACTTATAATTAATTATAATTGATTATTAATTGCAATTAATTATTGATTATAATATTAATTATAATTTTGATTTAGAATAATTATTTTTTCTAATGATAGTTAGGAACTGTTAAAACTGTTAATTAGATTAATTATTTTTTTCTAACTATATGTTTTGACACTATTTCTCTATTGAGCCGCACGAATATTATGTAATAACTATTGATCGGCCGTGACTTCGCAGAATTCAGTAGGTCCTCTATCATTTTCCAGAAATCGCTCCACAATAATAGCCATGATCGATACCTCTTTTTCAAGCTACTCGGTCGTCGTTTCCGGCACTAAACCTCAACGAAGGTAACGCGGAGGTAGCCAAGGGAGCGTTTCGCGGAAGGGAGAGGTCTGTCGTTGCTCATGTAATTAAGGAGCGACGAGAGTAACTTCATCGACCGTTATCGTCGCGCGAATCTCACCTGTCCCATCCCTTATCTTATGCATTCCTACCTGTCGATCGCACTCCAGACAGGCGAAGTGGCGCATATGCCACGCTCTGCCTTCGGCCTCGGTACACTCGTCGGCGAGGATAATTTCGTCGCACGCGCAGCAACGGGGTTTGAGTGTCTCGGCATGGTGACGGCCGCAGTATAGCCTGCCGTCTCTCCAGAAATAGATTAGGTCTACTAATAATTGGCGGCAGACGCAGCAGATGAAGCATGCGGGATGCCAAAGTGCTGTTGGTCCAGCACGACTCGCAGCAACAGACATTTCGCCGGCCGCAATCGCACGGCCACATTCTCGACATCCCGCGCCGTGCGGCCGCTCAAGCTGGTTCGCGTGGCCGCGGCCCAGGGCCTCGCGTTTCCGCTGCGCGGCGAAAACCCGCAGCTCGCGCTTCTCCTCCTCGGACAGGCCGCTGCAGTATCGCGCCTCGTTGTCGTGCGGCGGTAGCTGCTGCAGCAGTTGCTTCACCCGTTCCCGCTCGCCGGCGCTACCCGCGTAGGGAATTTTGTCCTCCGGTAGCGCGCTGAAGTACAGATGCACCTGTTGGGACACGTGAACGCGCGGGATTAGGTACCTGTGGAAATATCTGTTGACACGCGGGAGCCGTCACCCAACATGTCAAGGTGACGCATCAAGTTCCCGCGAAGACTTCCCCGTCACCCACTTGTGGATAACGCACGGAAAAAAAAAGATATGGACAAGTAAGCATAATTTGCTGTGTTAGCCACTTTTTCTTTGCTGCAGGAACCAATTTCCTTGCTAAGATAACAAGAAAATCTGCTCCTGCAACAAAAAAAATAGTTATAGCAGTAAATTATGTTTAGTTGTCCATCTGCAGCAAATTTGTTGCGGTCCCTTACGAAAAAATATTATAAGAAAACTACTGAGAACAGTAGTATTTTCGTCGATTAACGAAAATACCACTGTTTTAACTATTGAAAACGTATATTAAAACTATTTATAAAATTAACGAATAGGTTTTCTATAGTTTTCCAATAGTGTTTTAATAAGTATAGAGTAGTATTCCAATATTTTTCAACAATGCTTCAATAGTTTTCTTATATTGTTCTCAGTAGTTTTTCTTATAGTTTTTTTTCCGTAAGAGTTAGCTTGTCTTGCTGTACAAGCAGATTTTCTTATTATCATAGCAAAGAAATAGATTCCTGCAGCAAAGAAAAGTAGCAAATTATATTTAACTGTCCATATATAGCAAATTAGTTTGCTGCTACAGCAAATCCTTTTTTTTCGTGGCGGGTTTTATATTTCGGATTAAAAAGGATTTTACTGACAAAGTTGCAAAAATATCAATTAAATCACTGATTTTTAAATACACATGCACTAAGAGAAATTATTTGATAAAAAATTAACAAACGGATATCAAAATACTGATCAATTTTTGTATTCGATCGAAACATTGGTACATAATTTTTTTATCGGCTTATTTGATGAAATGCGATTATAATCGGAAGTATTCGATTAAATTTAATCGGATATAAAAATCAGTATTTTGATCGGGAATATCTGTTTGTCAATTTTTTTTATCGAATAATTTCTCTTAGTGTGTATACGTTTCAATTTAATCGATCATTGATCCTCGAGCAAATGCAATCAAGGAATGTTCAATTGACGATTGATATCCATCAATGATAGTTCAATTAACAATTAAACTTAGCACATTTAATTAAAGGTCGTTTAATTGACGACTGATACGAGCAATTCATTAATCGATACATTCGAAGAATTTGATTTAACTTCAAGTAGCGTCGCTTCCTACACTTTTTACACTTCCACATAGAAGAAGAAGTAATACGTGCAACCAAGTCGAGTAAACTGTAGCTGATGGCTGTCTCCAGTATGTACAGAGCTCACTGATCTTCACCAAACAGTCTTCGATTGAATCAATTGAATTTGCTCATATCAATCAATTACATAGTTCTTAATTAAATTTGCTAAGATCAATTAAACTTTCTCTGGTTCTCTTCACTCATATTAATCATCAATTAAACGGTCTTTACATGAATTCGTTGAAATCAATAATCAATTGAACGGTCCTCGATTGAATTTGTTGAAATCAATCATCAATTAAACAGTCTTTAATTGGCTCATATTAATCGTCTATATTAAACACGATAATTAATTATTTAAAAATGTACTCAGCAACCTAATTACTAAATATTTAAAAGAATATCTCTAATAAAAAGTATATATTATATATATACATATATATACATATAAGCGAAATATCATTAAGATAACAATCATTAAAATAAAAACATCATTAAACATCAAGATAAAAACATCATTAAAACAAATATCTTTAACATTGCACACTGAGAAATTAGGCCTCGTCAACGTGTTGAAGAACAAATTTTGGTCAATTTTTCGTCATTCTTTTCATATTCTTATTTCGTTATATTATATGATAAATATAAATGTTATATAAACAACTCCTAAAAGAGACGCGACCTTTATAAATCGACTAATAAAGTTGTACTTTTCGTACACCTAGATGGAAAGTCTTCTTCCTATCGTGAATATGGAAAAAGCACCGACGATAGCGGCTTGAGTCGCCGGGAATATGCGAATCTACAAGATAAGAATGGTCGCAGAGAGTTATTTTGCGTCAGAAGCGGCACCCGAGTGCTTACCGTATTTTATGGACGATAATACTCTAGCTTTCTTTTTCTGTCTTTAACTCTTCGTCGTGTGATAACATGATGGCCAATACGAATATACGAAAGTAATGCCTCCTTTCTCTTTACTTTCAGACCGAGCAGATCCCACCAACGACTTTCAATTCGGCACGAAACGTTGATTGAGTTTCTATAACTTTGATGATTCTAAGTATTTATTCAAATCATCACAGATCGTCAACTGTGTTCACGGATACTCACTCACGGTCTTTTATTTTCTTAACCCCACTCTAAACACATTCGTCCGTCACGGGAGATATAAATAATGTTCCACAAGAAATATAAATACACAACTTAGAGCCAAAGTAACGTATACGAGCGCCAAATTGAAATTCTAATAGTCGCCTATACTAGAAATTTATCGTAAGTTGAAACTATAAATTGAGGTAACAATTGTTGAAGTAATAAGATTAGATTAAAATAATAATGTAATATAATGATAACTGGATATGTGAAAAGAAAAGAAAATGAATACGGGGAAGCATTTTACGCAACATTTATTTATAAATGTTTGTATCATTGTTTCAACTAAGGCAAATTCGGTGATAAAAAGACAGAGAACTTAGCCGTCAATTAAGATCTTTTACATAGAAAAAAGAATATTCTTGTTTGAAGAAAAAAAGAAAGAAAATATATTTGATATTTTAAAAATAAAATTAATATTAAAATAACATTTTATTGATATTTTTATAACCACTATAACTCTATTTTGGAACCAAGAGTATCACGTTTCATATACTCCTCGTAAATCAAGCCTGATCTACAATGTGCTCTGTGCTTCCTGTTTCTTCCTCTTCATCTCTTTCTGATTTACATCTTAACGCCTTAAGACAAAGATAAAGGAACAGGAAGCAAAGAACATGTTGTAAATCACGCTTCAGATTCCAAGGGAGCAGTGTTGATCTTTAATTGGTTTTGAATAATTGAAGGGACATTCAATACTGAAGCCGAAGTCGCACTCACTAAATTATCGAGTATCGTATATAATGTAACAGAGTACGAGTATATTATCGGTGTATCAAGGCGTGTAAATGTATACAGGTCGCCGGAAAAGCGCAGAATCCGCTTAGGCGCGCCACAGAAGAATTATCACCCAGGGCCGGTTTCGTGTGCGCATGCATCAACGTCGATTATCTGTAACCGATAGTTTAACCGATCCCCCTGTTCTTTTCTGGATCGGCTCGCCGCCCATAATGTCGGCAGAGGCGAAGGATAGTGTCAACTCGCCGCGACTGACATTAACCGATGGTTGTTGCAGCACGCCCCTAACCGTCGCGAAATTAGATAAGTATCAAGGCAGCCACTGTCAACATACCGTAGAAACGGGTCTCTCTCGCTGAGGAAACACTGATATATGCGTTTACGTTAGTGCTTGCCCGCAACCTGCGGAGCCCGACGACATAAAGGGAATAAGGGACGCGCGATAAAAGTGTGCAGTTTTACTTGGCGCGCGCGTTTCACCGACGAACATTTCCATGAGAATAAGCGCGGAGAGTGAAACCGCGCGCGCTCGCGCCGGCTCAATATCCATTGGAATTCGCGCATAATCGAGTTTCTACATAATCTAGCGGTAAATTTCTCTCCGAGTCGGTTTATGAGTAGTGACGGCTGATGCGCTGCGCTGTGCGCGCGATGTATCGACCACTTTAGCGCCGCGTTGTGTACGAACGTTCGCACGTCTCTCTGTCGCTTTCTTTCGCTCCTCTTGTTTTTCTTGCGCCGACCGCCGTGGCGGAAGCCGCGACTTCTTCGGAACTGTGTTATCGACTGCATAATTGATCATTTGAAATATAATTACGATGTTATTTTGAATGTTGCCAGACCATGAATACTGAGTCGCTTAAAGCGCGTCAAGTCGATTGGAGGATTTCTCAACAAATAGGAATGCAACGTAATGGTGTAAGCGCCGATATGCAAAAGCACAGGTGTTTGCGTGCATACGAAATCTGCATGGCTAGAAGTGACAGAGAGCGAACGTGTTTGTGTCGTGTTGTGGCCGCGAAACGCTCGTCGTCAATAAAAGATTCGTCTTTTTTCCATTGAATTCAGATGTCCAAGTAAATGTACGAATAAATATCACTCGTTTCGGACACTTCAGAAGCTTGTGTACTCGCAAATCTACCACAAGTTCATTATAAGCATCGAATTTATTCAAAGTACATTCTGCATTCTAACAAGTTTAATATTTCAATCAAGAATGTTAAATTAAAGAAAAAATTCAGTTCATTCTATTGCACAGAGTCGAACTAACTTTTTTTATACTTCGATAAAGTTTTATGATATTCTTGTGAAAAGAATAAAAATCCTTCTTTTGAATACATAATACTGAGCTTTTCTTAAATTTGTGATGAGTACACTTCAACCCTTAAACGACAGGGTGGAGTCATATATGAGCGCAATTTTTTAATTTATTTTTTCTTCCACATATTAAAATTTCCATCAAGCTAAATAAACAGCAATTTAACAAAAACGAACATTTTTATTGTATAACAATATTTTTTCAGTGTAAAATATCTTTGACGTAAGCATATTACAAAGTTTCAATGGATTGCATTGAAAAATATATAAAAATATACCGAATAGGGTCTCGTTTAAGGATTAAATTTCCAACAAGGAAATATTCTTTGTTAAAAACTGAGACTTATTACTTGAAAGAGTGAAAGTTAACTGAGTAATCGCCTTTCTTAACAATGGAATTATATTTTTCTATAGACAGGAAGTTTGGATATTAAAAGGAAGAAAGGGAATCCTCATTAGATATTTAAAGCTCATTCTACAATGGCGGTAAGCAGTAAGAAGTAGGAAGTAAGAGTAAGAAATTGAGCAATCACAGTTGATTATTCTTCTCACATTCGACTGCGATTGATCAATTTCTTACACTTACTTCCTACTTTTTACACGGAGAAAAATAATTTTGCTCTTTTAGCAAAATCGTCGTTACTACTGCATATTTGTAGTGACATCAAAAAAATTTAGTTGACGAAACTGACTTTACAAATTATTCGTTATCAGAGCAGAAATAGTTTCGTTGTCAGGATAGAAAAAATTTGTTGAGTGTATTTGTCCTAAAAATTACGTTAATTTGCTATCGATGCAAAATAATGTATCCTTAGCAAATTTATTTGCTATAGGAGCAAAATTGCAATTGCTTATATAAATCCATCATGGTTCTTATAGCAAAATAATTTGTAGATTCAGCAAATTATATCCAGCAAATAGTGATTAGTACTCTTAGCAAATCTTTTGCTGTCTTTTAGCAAATCTTTTTGATATAATAAGGAAAAGACTTTGCTAGACCAGCAGAAAATGTGCTGGGCCAGCAAATTACTTTTCTCCGTGTACTACTTATTATCATTGTAAAATGGGCTTAAAAAATATCGAATCTATATTCATTTTACTGGTCGAAATTCCTTCGATACTGGATATCTCGTTTTTCATTTTATTTGACAAATTTTCTGCCTGATAAGGAGTCAATGATTCTTGAATGTTATGTGAAATTAAATCGCGGGTCTTCTCACGATTAACTCGCGACTCTGAAGTAGCCATCGAGAACTTTGCGGGTTTGCGTGAAACGGATGAGTATCGCCTCAAGGACTATCACTCCGCAGGATTGAAGACTCACGCGAGAAAGAAGTGTCGCGCCTCGGCGATGCTACCTCGTGGTCCTTCGTGGCGTGAAGACACGAATTGACGCGGTCGTCAGCGCGCGAGAGAGGCACAAGCGCGAAAAGCTTGTTGCGCGGGATTAGCGTCCCCTCGGAGAACGCCGAGTCATAATATATAATGCGCGTTAGACGTAATGACACTTAAAATGAGTAAAGAAAACGCAGCGGCCGCGGGACAGGCTGCGAATGGGACGCGAAAGCGGGAAATAAAAGGGAGAAGAAGACGGAGAGATAGGAAGAGAGAGAGAGAGAGAGAGAGAGAGAGAGAGAGAGAGAGGGAGAAAAAGAGAGACAGACAGAGGTGAGAAGAGGAGAAGAGAGAAGCGGATTTGCGCCGCGCGAGTCGAAATAAACGACGACGTTGGCGCTCAGCGCAAAGGCCGAAGAAGACTCTATTCCGCGCCGCGCAAACGCGCACGCGCTCAGACCAATTAAAGGACGAGGGCTGCGTCGGTTGACCCTTTCGCTAAGGATAACTCCAGCGCGGCGAACGTTGCCCGCGACTGTATACCGCGCGTTTAATTAAATAAAATGATTTCATGCGGCAGGATCCCCGCGCGAAAAAATTATGCCGAACGAATGTCTCTCTTTAGAAAAGCAAATCGAGGGATACAAATCGAGGGAGAAAATGCTCTCTCCGGGGCCTCAAGTGGCTGCGAGAATGGCGCTACCAGCGCGTAATTAATATATTTCACGGTGCGAGATATATATCTGCCGGAGAGGAAGGAGAGAGAGAGAGAGAGAGAAGGAGGGGGGGAGGAGAAGATACGTAAGAAGACAACGGTGAAATGCATCATCCGCCGTGTTTTCTCTAGGTCCTTTTTCGGGTGAACTCCTCGATTACGCTTTATCATCGTATCCAGCTCGACAGAGAGAAAGAGAGAGCTTTCACCGGCGCGGCGTATGATGACTCACTGCGCCGTCGTCGTTCACGACGGTAATCGTCGCGGCGATCTGGGAGCCGGCTCGCTGGTGCATACCCAGCGAGACGAATCGAAGAGCATTACGTGCGTGCGCGACAGCAAAAAGGACCCCGTTTCTCCCACTCCCTTTCTCTCTCTCCCTCTGTCTTCTCTTTCTTTACTTCCGTCTTTCTTTCTCACCTGGTCGGGCCTCAGCCCGGGCGGCACCCATGTATACTCCTCGAGCGCGCACCCGCTGTCGTCGTCGCTCTGCGAATGCCTCTGGTGGTGCATCAGGGCCTCCTGCAGCGCCAGGCCGGCCGGTGCGGCTTGCACCGGGCTCTTGAACGGCTCCTGGTGAGGCGCGCCGCCGGCGCCGCTCGGGAACGCCATGGCCATCGCCATCGGCGGGCCCGGGCCCAGGCCGAGTCCCGAGGGACCTCCCGCCTCCGTCGAAGCCCGCTGGTGCTCCTCCCGCGGACACCTGCAGCTCCTGCACACCTTCCTGCAAAGAGCGAACGGTGCGTTCATGAGAGGATGCTGTGCCGAGAGGGTTTTGGGCTCGTATGATTAATGTGCAGGTCCTTCTTAATCACGTTGTCGCGCCATTTTTAATGTTTAAGCGGGCTCACCGCATCAGACCGCCAGGGATCGGCAGGTATTCATGTAAGATGCATTTTCTTGGCTTCGGAGAAAGCTGTTCTCGATCGGAATCATCGCGCACGATTGCCGAGGTAATAGCGATAAGTACACCGAGAGGAAAGAATGATCAACATCACTACGAATTGTAGTTATTTCCCCAACCATCTTTTTATCAATCATTCAGTTACTCCCAACCGACTTCTTATTGTCCTAACAAAAAAATAATGGTGGTATTTCAGAGTATTCTGAAATACCTGAAAGAGAGAGAAGTCGGGTAATCACGCCGTCGGAAATGTTCAACAGGTGAATCAATCCTAGATTGCCAAGCAGTAGTTAGTCCGCCAAAGTCATTCTGACTTCCTTAGTTAATTTCTTTTTCGCTCGCAACCTGCCTTATTGTTTATAATCATTTTCTGACGAAAGAAAAATTAAATAATACTTTATAATATTTAATAATAATACCAATTTTACAAACTTGTTTCTATTAAATTTATATTAGAGTGTTCTATTAAATTGCTTTAAATGTAAGTTAAAATGATTGACATTAGCAATCCAAGATGAATTACACAGATTTAACCATCGCAACTTTATTGCGCATTGATATAACGCCGACAATGATATCCGAAATGGAGAACTCCTAACGAATCCTAGATTGCCAAGTAGTAGTTAGTCCGCCAATGTGGAAATCATTCTGACTTCCTTAGTTAATTTCTTTTTCGCCCGCAACCTGCCTTATTGTAGTCATTTTCTGACGAAAGAAAAATTAAATAATACTTTATAATATCTAATAATAATACCAATTTTACAAACTTGTTTCTATTAAGTTGTTAGAGTGTTCTATTAAATTACTTCAAATGTAAGTTAAAATGATTGACATTAGCAATCCAAGATGAATTACACAGATTTAACCATCGCAACTTTATTGCGCATTGATATAACGCCGACAATGATATCCGAAATGGAGAACTCCTAACGAAAGAACGGCGCGAGGCTCGAGACGAGATAAACTGTACCGCGGAACGTACATTCTCTCCCACACAAACCTACAAGAGAAACCTACAAGTTCAGTTTCATTTTCTTACATAGCCGATTTGAATAAGGCAATCCTTTGGCACAGCGCCGCTAACTCGCTTCTCATTGGTCACTGGCCGAGCTGTTCCGGCGTCACATAGAGACTAAAGCCGACAGATTCGAGAGACACACACAAGAAACATAAACATACCCACAATAGAGCCGAAATCCAATTTAGACGTCAAGATTAATACGAGAACGCGATAGCTACTGTCACCTTTGAATTGACGTTTCGGCAATAAGTAATAATAAACACTGTAGCGGCACTTACTACAAAAACGAGTTCCCCGACTATCATTATTTCACCATGCATTTATACAGTCATAAAATATCATAAGTTCTTTTTCCTCAATGTAACTTGGTCGTTATCGTGTCTATATATTGCGATAAATCAGCTGAATGACGATAAATCAGCTATTGCAGCTGAAATTATAACATGGAACGTGTTCAATATGGTAAATGTATAGTAACTTTGCTGAGTGTATGAAACCAGATATAAAACGAAAGAGTTTTCACGGATGGTGCTCGCGGAGAATTGCCTGATTGATTTCCCGGTCGTATTTTTTCCCTAATTACAGAACTCGCACTAGGAATTCTGCTTATCCTACGAAATATTTCTGCGTATATCCAGCGTGCTCACGAGGAGAAAACTGGATGTAATAACGAGATCGATGTAACACGATGCATGACTACATAGAATAAATGATTAGTCGTTACACCTGACTACGACGGCACCTTCTCGCCTCGCTTCAATAAGTCGGGATGTTTCAATATAAAATTCCGCGGCCTCGCGAACACGCGAGGAAATCGCACGTGCTATTCCAGTTGTTCTGGATCAACGAGCGCTAAGTACCTATCGAAACGTATGAGGCGAAAACGATCGATGCGACGCGGACCGTAAACGCCAAGTGATTTTTGATTAATGGAATTTCCGCCGCGGCCCGTAATAACGATGCCGTTTTCCAGCGCGTTCGAGAGACGTCGAGACACTCAACGGGAAATTGCGTTCCAGATGAGACTACGTGAAAGTAGATGAGCCAGTAAGAACAGACCGAGATGAGCGTGTATCTAGTCGTGAGAGATCGCGCTTCTTTATATCCTGAAGCTCTCGCATTCTTAATTTCTGGGATCCTTAAATTCAGATTTTCATGATTATCTCACCGCGTGAGAGAGTCGATGATGAAAACTCTATACAATTTTTCTGATCAAATTTCTGTGGGACAAATGTATCGAATAAAAATTAAATTTTTAAACCGAAATAATAGAAAGCTCCTCGAATAGATTAAACTAACAGTAAGATTTGAAATGGCACATAAGGAGCGAATGGAAAGGCGTCCCGCCCGGAAAGTGGGGAGGGTCCAGGTTCGAGTCTTGGCGGAGGCAGTTTTTTCGCAACATATTTAATGAATCTATTTGAGTCATCGGTTTAATGGGGTTTGGATTTTAATAAAAAATATATAAAATAATATATATATATATATATATTATATAATAAATATATAAAAATTGGGACTCAAGGATCGGTCTAAGTATGGAAGGTTGATTCTCCGCGTACGATAATCGAAGAAAAAATTTCGATACGTGCGTTTAACATATCAATTTTATCCTCCCACAATCATATTAATATTAAAAAAGTAATATTAGTATTTAATAGCACTAAGACATCCGTGCTTGCTCCTTATGTGCCATTTCAAATCTTACTGTTAATTAAATTTTTACATTGTACAATAATGTGAGTTTTTTGTTATATTAATGCAGCGACAAATTTACCAAAAGTTATACTCAAATTTTCGTATTACGCTTTGCATTTTGTTTCGGGAAAATTTTCATCACACTTTTCGTATTTCCATTTTGTCATTCTGTATTCTATGATATTCTATGTGCTTCAGTGTCGTTCTATATGTTCAATGTGTCATTTTATGCGTTCTATGTCATTTTATGTCGTTCTACGTGTTCTATGTATCATTCTACACTGTTTTCATGTCATTTTATGTGTTCTTCTGTGTGTGTTATTCTGTGTTCTTGTGTCAAAAATTCTATGTGTTCAATGTGTCATTCTATATATTCTATGTGTTATTTTATGTGTCTTAGTGTCATTTTCTATATTCTAGTGTCATTATATGTGTTCTACATATCATTCTATATATTCTATATGTTTTATGCGTCATTCTACACGTTCTATAAGTATCATTTTATATATTCTAGTGTCATTTTATATGTTTAATGTATCATTCTATGTGTTCTATGTGTCATTCTGCGTATTCTACGTGTCATTCTATATGTTCTACCGTTATTCGATGCGTTCTAATATCATTCTATGTGTTCTATCATTCCGTGCTTATTTTGCGAAAAATAAATTGTTGCGAAATTTACATTACACCTGCCTTTTTTGGAGTTTAATTAGAGTTTGACATCACGTTGATGTTTCTTCATTCGAAATTATACAGGTTTATTTCTTAGGTGTAAATTCGATTTGGCATTGTCTTTTTTCATCCCTTATTTTCGACACTGAAGTCAGATTTTTCAATAGTAATTTGAATTTCAAGGTTCAAACTCTATTCTAACAATGTGTTTGAATTGTTCAAACAGAGTTTAAATGTAATATAAATTTAAATTACTATCGAAAAATCAGAGCTCTAAATAATTTATCAACGGGGAAAACATAAGACATTAGTATGAATTTTATCACCTAAAAAAATATAATTTCATTTATATCGGAATCTTTTTAATATGGTCTCAAGAAGATTCTGCTAAAATCAAAAGAAGAATATTCTAAGCACGGTATTAAAGTAAAGTTAAAGAAACTTCATTTTTTATCTACATTCTTGCTTATTGCGCTTTTCCTATAACGTATAAGATTTGCTTCAAATAAACACATTATTCTTGATTCAAAAGAAAAATGTTACAATATCTAGTAGATTTTCGTTTTCTCTTAGAATATGGGATTATACGAAACAATACTTTGCAACTAAAATTCTGTTGTTTGGATGTTTTCTTTTAGTTTCAGAAGAATCCTCTCGAGGCCCATATACAAAAGGATCCCGTTAGGAATGAGGTTATATCTCTTTGGATGTTTAAGATTTCCACGAGTCTTCTCGTGTTTGCGCAGTTCCAATAATATCGACGTTTCCACGTCTTCGACGAGGAAGAATGGCGAAAAAGAATCCCAAATTGGCGGAATGACCTTCCGACGGGAATGGCAGGTGTTATCCGAAAATCCTCCGTGTACCCGCCACATGACACACACACACGCACACAAACTCCCATCTCACCCACATTCCAGGATAAGTGTTCCATATTTCCTGCGGACGCATCGTGTACTTTCATAACGCGGTCATGCCTAAGAACCATCGGGGGAGATTTATGCGCCGCCACCGACGGAAAAATGTCCAAGAGCACATTCCTCCTCACCGAGGAGGCAACTTACTCCGAACAAGCGGCCTGCACATCGTAACCCGAATGCACCGAACCGCAGTCGGCTACGCGGCCGCATTCCGCGTCTCCCGCGGCACGCCGGTGATCGGCCGCGAAACTGGTCCCGTCGTCATGGGCGCCCTTCAGGAACTCCACGCACTTCTCCGTAGGGCTGGCTCGCGACGTCGCCAGCGCCGGGCAGCCTACCACCGCGGCGACGACGTCGTCCACGTCGTCGTTCGCGTCATCGTCGCGATTCCTCAGGAACGCGTCGAGGTAGTGCTCGTCGGCGCTCGGTAGATCGTAAACGACGCCGGGTGTCCAGGGTGACTCGAGGTCGCGAGGTCGCGTCCCGACGTCCTCGTCGTTCTGACTGTT